CATTGTGTTTCCTGGTGTTGTACCCGCCTTTCTTGTGACAAATTGTATTTTTGAAGCAGTAACCTTTTTTTCATACGCTTGATTCTTGGTGTGTATAGACCAGGGGTGGCCAAACCGCGGCTCGCGAGTCGCATGCGGCTCTTTGCTGGTCCAACTGCGGATCGCGGATCCCTCGTAAAGGGACCCCCCCCCCCCCCCCCCCTTCACCCCTTTCCGCGTTTCCCCAGGAAAAAAAAAGGGATTTCAGAATAAAGCACACTGCAGCTTGCACTTTGACAGCCTTGTACTCCCATACGTACAGTCGTACAGCCTTGTGCCCTCATACGTACAGTTAGACTAGGAACAAACGTTGTTTGCTCCCCCCCCCCCCCCCCCCCCCTTTGCGGCTCTTAGAAGTTCCGTGGTTTTGTTTGCGGCTCTTAGGCCAGGCCAGCCTGGCCACCCCTGGTATAGACTCAACCTTTATATGGGCACAACCCCCCCCCCCCCCCCCCCCCCCCCGAGGTTAAGTCTAAGTTTTTAAATACCAGAATGTGGGAACAAAATGGAAGTATAGAAGAATTTTGAAATGATAAAATACTCTCGTTGTATTCCTAGCAGGGTAAAAAAAAGTTTTATTTTTTATATATATTGAAATAAACCCGTTTTTTTAAATTAAAATCAAATCTATATGATTGAAATCAAATTTTCTTGATTTAAATAATATTTATTTGATTTAAATCATATTACCAGGATTTAAAACGTAAACTTATTTGATTTAAATCAGAATAATTTGATTTAAATCATTGCTGTAGATTTAAAGTACAGTTTAATTTTTTTTTAATTTTATGGTGTAAACCCCGCAATAGTAGAACAAATATAGCTTGATTTGTTAGTGCAGTGGTTCTCAGCCATCGATATTTCGCGGACCCCTTGTGGATCGGCGGAGATGATGGAGCACCCTTCTGTGGTGAAGGGAGGAGAAAAGGTATCGGTTAAAATATAATAAGGATTTAATAAATAGATATAAGTAAGGGCTCGTGGGAAGTAGACCTCTCTTTTTTGACTTGGCACTAAAAAAGTCGCCCGAAAACTGAAACATTTCTTCTCGATCTGAAAAAAGTCACCTTTTATTGCCGGGCTTGACTGATGAGGCAGGGCTTCGCGGACCCTTAGAATGCCTTCGCGGACCCCAAAGGGTCCGCGGACCTCCATTTGAGAACCACCGTGTTAGTGAACAAACATCATTTGTTTTTTATTACACGTCCTTATTTTCTTGCGATAGGACATTAAATTTCTAGATTTAGTTTCATTCTTTCGCATCTCTATTTAGATGACGAAGGAAACTTCACAATCTATGTGATTTTAAATATATCTCCACCCTGATTCGTACCTTATATTTAAATCAGGGTGTCGAACCGGAACCGAACCGGACCGAAAACCGGAACCGAACCGGTATTTTTTCCGGAACTGAACCCGAACCCGAACCCGAACCGTTATATTGTTATCGCGATGAACCCGAACCGGAACTGAATTGGAAAAAAAAAAAATAACGGTTACCGGCTCATGTCAAAACGGTTCGGCCACGCGCTGTTGACAATGAATGTGCTATCAATGCCATTTGTTTTTTAAGTGCCGTCAACAGACACACACCTCGCTTACATATTTTTCTTCTCCACTCACTCTCAGGAAACGCTGCATCCATGAATCTTGATATAGGAACCAGTATTGCGCTGGTCGCGGCTTGCACGGAAAAAAAAAAATTGGAAAGCAGTGCAAAAAAAAAAAAAAAAAAAAAAATCGCGTCACGGGATTTTATTTTTTTTTACAATCTCGTAAATCCTAAATGCTGCTGTGTGCTCATTTCATAACATGTTTCTAGAACGCGCGAGTTCTTGAAGCTTGCTTCCATCGGAATGAGAAAAGAAAAGGCTGTGGAGTTGGATAATAATGCATCCGGTTTCGTATAGACCGACACGCGGAGCGGCTCTGTTTACCAACACGGCCGGAAGGCCGCGCATGCGCGGTAGCTATGTGGGCAAAAGCAACCCGGCTCTCCGTGTTTTCGCCATTGCGTTGTGTGGCGTGCGCTCATTGTTGACGTTGTAGGGACGCTTCTAGCTTTATTTGTGAGTCGTGTTTCCTGGCAACGCATGTCGAATGCTATGGCCGACAATTTGAGCTCGCTACCCGAGCCTGAACGGCGGCGGTATCGAGACAAACTGTGCGTGGACGACGTTGCCTGCGAGGATCCGTACGCCGTAAACAAAGCCTGCTGGACTTCCGACGTGAAGTTGCTGCCACCGAAGTCGACGGCTCACGTCGTCGTTTATTTAGTTCTTTCGCCCAGCCGGTTCACGGCCGACACGGAGCAGGCGTACAAGTCTCTCGAGGCCTAAGATTACTTCGATTCGGTTTCCGCACTGCCGGCGAAATCAGCAGACTGTGGGTCCGCGGAAGTGTATTTATTAATTAAATAAATGCACACAGCGTCTTCAAGTCAAGGTATGCTATTCTTCCTACTCTCATGACCACAAGGCATGACAAGCAGTAGCGCTTTGTCCGTTCTGCTGCCTTGGCGGTAACACGTTACAAGTAACGGCGTTACCAGGAACGCGTTAGTTTTTTCAGTAACGTAGTAACCTACTCGTTACTTTTTTGACACAGTAACTGGTAACGTACTTACGTTACTATTTCAAGTAACGTAGTTTCGTTACTCGTTACTACAATTACACTTCAATTTTTTTCCGTGTTTTTAGGCGTCAAGCTATGTTTTTCTTTGCGTTTTTTTCTCGTGAGTATTTGGGTGAAACCATAAGAAGAGATAGAGTAATTATGTTCAGTTTCTGCATGAACAGAATGTTTCTTGATATATGAGCTTATGCATACCTGTATCGTCAAAACCGTAAAACGTCTTAAATCTTAATTTAAAAAGTAACGCAGAAGTAACGTGCGTTACTTTTTATCGGTAGCGGTAACGCGTTAATTTTATTTTTAGGATACGTAGCTTAGTAACGCGTACCTTTGATTTGCAAGTAACGAGTAACGTATTTCGTTACTTTTTTTCGGTAACGCCTACAACACTGCCGTTCTGCCGCCGATCCCCTCCTGCTTGGTAGCACGGGCGTAGCGAGCCTCCGACGAGCGCTTGGCCGGTGCTTTGTGCGCGAACACCGTGGCAACAAAATCCGGGTGGTCTCGATCAGACGACGGTTTCCCTGCACATAAGCAAGCCTCGGGACGGAGATTGAAATGGAAGCCGCATTTGCCTCCAAGAAAGTGGTTGCCGCACAAACGGTCGTTCGCGCGCAAGGCGACCATAATTTTCGATCCACGGATATTATCCACCTTCTATGCCTTTCAGAGTTTGCCGGGAACTTGTAGAAGCTCACTCCGCTACTTTTCTTGCACATTTCGGTGAGATTAAGGGCAACACAGCTTCGCGGCATGCTGAAATGCTATGACGCCCATGAGAAACGTGCGCGCTTTTGCCCACACCCCCCGGCTCCGGCGCGATCGCAGCGCCGCCGCAGCGCCGTGACGTCAAGCCCGCGTGTCGGTGTATAGGCACTTAGAAACTAACATATTTGTGAGACAGCGAACTCTTCTATTTTAATATTTATCCTATTACGTCCTTCTGGCGTTGCGTTCGATGAAGTGTTTTTCATATTCCGTGTCTCGTTTAATGAAAACTCCTTTAAGGGTCTAATTTGAGTTACCGAAGGCTAGTTCAAATAAAGAAAGCTGTATTTTCTCCCCACTGTTCCTTCAATTGCTTACACGCCGAGGTGGCGGGATATTTAGCGAGTTCTACTTGCAAGTGGGTTTGTAAGGAGGTCGGGGATTTTACAGCTACTGCGTCGGACCCAATTAGATGAAGTCCGAATGCGTAAACGTCGGTGAGGTAACCTTTGAGTGCACATAAAGAAACCATTCCTGGTACAAATCCCTGAGCCTTAAGGCCCATACGCACACTCGCGTTTGAGCGCGGTGCGTTCCGTAGCGGCAAGCGGACGCGTTACGTTGCGAAGACCGCTTGCGCCAAGCTTGTACGCACAGTTGCGTTGACACGCAGTCAACCGCAGTCAAGAGCCAATAAGAACGCGCTATCGTCGCTAGTGGCTCACCAATAGTAAGCGAAATCCAAGGCAACATGGCGGCGCACGGCGACGGCGTTGGTGTTCGATCTTGGGACAATCTCGCCGGCTTCCCCGACGTTTTGTCAAGCTTGAACCATCGCAGCCTTGGAAAATACAGTCTCCACCGCTCCCCAAAACGAAAAAGCAAGCACTGCGACCCGCGAACCGGATACGTCTCGCCGAGTCGGCCGGGTGGGGCGAGCGAACACGTCACCCCCCTCCCCTCTTTCGGCTGCTGATTGGTCGAACGCACCCGAACGCACCGCAACGCTTCGGAAAGTTGAGCGAGTCTCTACTCGCTTGCGTCGCGCTACCGAGCGTTGCGGGAAGGCGCGCGTCGCTCTGCAAGCGACCGCGCCTGGCCGCAAGGACTCCGCAACGCACTCAAACGCGTTCAAACGCGAATGTGCGTATGGCCCTTTACACTACGATGTATCAAGTTTCGTATGTGCTGATTTCAGATGTTTTATTTGTAATTTATTTTGATGTTGCAATTTGTCATTTATAATTTCCGAACCGGTTCGCGAACCGGTTCGCGGATCGAATTAATCGAACCGGAACTGAACCGGAACAAAATAAATTTACCTGAACCTGAACCGTAACCGAACCCGTATTTTTTTAGGTTCGACACACTGATTTAAATATATAATAAAAGTAAATATTATATTTATAATTAACTACGCTTTGGTCGAAGTATTTTGTACTTGTATTTCGATACATTATTCACTGGAAGTGTTTCTTCGCGTCCCCGGCGCGGAGGCATTCCGAGGTGGTGCCGGCTAAATACCCAATCAAGCGCTCTCGCTCCTTCATTGCGTTTGTCGGAATGCCTGAGCAAGACAGTATTTGTATAAAGACGGTTTGAAAATGATTAATTTTCAGGGAGTTGCTCCGTGCCGTGGCCTCCCTTAAACTCACCCACGAAAAGAAGGTGGCCACGCCGGCAAACTGGAAGGTGAGTGCTCGTCGCGACCGCGACAGTTTATCACCCTGTCATACGTTGCGGATGTTCTATTCCCATCACGGGCAGTGGCACAGATTTAGTTTTCTAATCAAAAGGATTTTTTTTTTTTTTTTTTTTTGTGGGGGGGGGGGGGGGGGGGGGGGGGGGGGGACGGCGTTTTTTTGCCAAGCTCTCTTCGTAGAGGGCGGTGATTTGATTTGGCTCTTCGAGTGCTCGGCGGGAAAAGCAGACACGCGTGCATTTTTATACTCGGTCACTACTTTGCTTTAAAGCCTAGCTGTACGCGTGCACATCGAAAGCCGGTCTGATCCAGCACTGCCGTAGCTTTCGCAGCGTTGCAGCAGACCCATAACTTCAACAGCAAAAGCGGTTGAAGTGAAGGAATTAAAATGGGGAAGACAAACAATGGGTGATGCTCTTTTTCTTGGCGCGAGGAGGAGGGGAAATTGTGTTGTCGGCAGCTTCCCGTAGCCTCGCTGTTTAATCGGCGTATGAAAACGGCGGATGCTCGTCAATTAATCGGAAAAGGAAGGGGGGGGGGGGGGGGGGGAGGATGGTAGCGATTCCCCCTACATGCTCTAAACTCTGTTTTCTCACGGCGCGGTGGTGGCGCGTCGAGCGCACTTCCAGTCTGTGGCTGTGGGCGGAAGTCACCATGCGAGACGTGCATTTTCGCGTTATTTTGAAAGAAATCAGACAAAAACTTGCCTTCTCGTGAAAACGCCGCAACTGGGGCTGTACCAAAGGAGTCCAGGAAGGTTTGAAGGTCAGTTTTCATGTGCTCGGTTCGTCCGAGAACGTGGATATGTAACGCGTGAAAAGGGAAAACCAGACGCCGTCGGACCACGATTGCATGGGCGGGAAGCACTTTGGGTTGAACTCTCGGACACTTGGGGTCATCGGATTTATTTGTTTTGTTCCAACATGAACGCGGGAAAACCGTCAAGCTGTACGGACCACCTGCGGACTCCGTTCAGTGGGTCCAAGTTCAAACGGCCACCTGATCGTCCGAACTGTCATCTGCTCTTTCAAACGCTTCTGTTTGTCGTCTGCTCTTTCAATGCCGGTTCTCACATGCAGCGAAACGCCGATGCAGCGCTGCTTACGTGTCGTCGGCTACTTATCGTCTGCAATGAGCAGCAGTTTTGACGGTGCGATACAAAGCTGGCGAACGCTCCCGTCAGCACGCACTTAGCTCAAGGTCAGCGCTACGCTTGTAGCGCTCCGCTGCATGCGTGAACAGGCCTTCAGACGACACCGGCCCGTGGACCAAATGTTGGCCCGGTAATTGCGATAGAAGCAAGCGCAGGCCTCAAAACTTTGAAGGTTGGTTGGGGTAAGCAGGCTCGGGTAAAACAGTAGATACAAGAAGATTTTGATCATTTTTACCCGTGGCCATCATCGAATTGTTATTCCTAACTCACTGGGTCCGATTCTGCTGACGATTTTCGGTATCGACGTCGACCATCTCAACTACGGTTCGCTCTTTTGCAGCCCGAGCGACGTCGCAACCGTAAATAGCGAACGGAATCTCATCATGTGAATCAGGCATTAGCGTCCATTCTGCGGCGTCCACGCGGAATGAATAACCGCATGTCACATTATTCACGTGAAGTTTTGCGGTGTAACGATCCTCGGCAATTTCGCTGAGGCCACTCAAGTAGTCAGACATCACCAGGAAGACGTAGAATCAACAATTCCAACGCGAAAAAATAGCTTGGGAACTCATACTGACGCCGACAACATCGCATTTCAATGGTTTGTTTATGGGCGACGGCGAGTATATGTCTTGCCCAAACTCCATCGCGCATGCGCGGCGCCGGTGGCGTCCGCTAGGGGCGTTCCGGTTTGTTTGTAAACATGAGTTGCTCTCTAGCGTGTTGTTGAGTCGATGTATATGTTGCTCTTTTCCAACCGCAGCCGGGTGATCCCTGCATGGTGATTCCCACGGTGAAAGACGAGGAGATCCCGCTGCTGTTTCCCAAAGGAGTCACCTCGTACAACATGCCCTCCGGCAAGAACTACATCCGCGTCACCCCTCAGCCCGACCTTTGAACGCCTCCTCACCCACCCCTTGCGTCACCACTATACGCTGCAGCAGCAAGGGGCCGATCGCCGGTCTTACCACGTAGTGGCTCCAAAGAAGCACGCCGGACGACGTCATCCGCCACTCTTGCACGACAGATAGACAGTTTCGACCTTAACCACATTAGCAAACAATCTAAGCTGCCAAGGGACATCCAAAGAAGGTCCTGGATGCATACTGCCCCGCGACGGATTCATCCAGTCTAGCCAATAAAAAAGGCGAGCTATATTGGGTTTTCCATGGTCATGCAGAGTTGATAAAAAGATGTCCACCCCTTTTTCCCCCATTAAGATAGTTTTTTTTTGTTTTTTTTTCCTTTGGAGCATGACAGCGATCGCCATTATCGACAATTATCCGTGTTCGCCATTGTTTTGGCACGCATTTTGGGCACCTACTGGATACGAGGACCGCGTCAGCGTTCGGCGAGGACGCGGATCTAAGCACGCTTTTTGCTCATTGGATGGATGGATGGATGGATACGCTAATGGCTGTATACCCAGAGCTCATACAAAGAGAGTTATTGGGAAGTATAGGAGGCAAATAAAAGGAGGTGCCATTGGCCGAAAGCGGGCTGGGCGTGTTCCAGGGCGCCTTCGGAAATTCGAATGTGGCCAACCAGACGCCAGAAATAATACCCTGGCGGTGGTCACATGAAACGAAATTAATAAGTTCGTGGGAGTAACTCTCGGTGACTGAAAATATGGTGCACGTGATATTTTAATCAAGGTGATCCAAAATCATGGTGGAAGAGCGCGACTATAGCGCTCTATAGCGATTTAGCAATTGTCATTGAGATCAGTGGTACCCTTTATAACGGGCGGTACATAGCTTGAACCTAAAAATGATGACCGCCAATGATGCTTGATTGAGTTTCGACAAGGGACGGTTGTCGACCGTGACTATTCGGTAGCGCGAACTCCCGAGCTTCAGATCTGCGTCAGGAAGCTCGAACTATATCATTTTGCTCTGCTTCGGACCCTTACAATACTTCTGAAGGACGGGAAAGCGTTTTTTCTGCCATTTCGGGTAAAGCTTCCAGATGGTGCATTCTCCCTCAGATAACCGGTACGCACCAAAATGGCTAAAGTGTTGCATCAGGTCGCTCAAAGTAACGGCAGTCGTACTTCAGTACAGTGCCCGAAGGCCTCCCATGCATCGGAAGTCATCCCGAAGTGGCAGCGAATGACGTCACAAACTCCCAGGTGTCACGCCGTCGGATGTCGAGATCCTGGCGGTTGGTCGTAGAAATTCTGGCGAAACGCACCAGCCAAGGTGGGTGTCGCTGTCGTCACGGCGCCCCACTCCTGGCTGCCGAAGCTTCCGTGGACCGGCAAGCTGGAGAGCGACCTGCAGCGGAACAGGCGTCTGCCACATACACCACCACTCCTGTGACGTCGCCAGGGTCGCTGCCGGCGACAGCATGACATAGGCTGTGTTCCAAAGCATGCCCGAGTAACCTGTCTCATATATCGTCAGCGGGTAATGGCACGCTACATCGTGAGTAAACGATCTGCGACTCGAGTTAGGAACGACTGGGGTTAGGATACTACGCAAATTAGCTTCGCCTTAAACTACAAAAGAAAAAAAAAAAATCATTGCAGCGATGACGGAAATTAACAGACGATCGCTTTTGATCATGTAGGAAGCATTCGAAGAGGTGATAATATCAACAGCTGTGAAGTGTTTCTTTGACAGTGACGACGCTGTCTTTTCGGAGACGACTCCGTCAGCTCGACTTGCTCAGCTTCCGTTTGAACTGTATATTGAGATTAGAATTATTGAAAATTACTCCTTTCAACTAAACATAAAAAAAGATCTTTGTATTAATCAGCGCGATCGCTGTAAGTCTGGTCCAGGTGCCCTAAACCAGGGGACTGCAAACTGTTTGGCGAAGGGGACGGATCGGGGATCTGTCGCCGTCTCGAGGACCGGAAAGTAAATAGGGGAATAAATAAATAAATATTCCTAGATAAGCATTTAAAAAAGGGGTAAAAGTTAGCATAAAAATAAAAGAAATAATGTAAGGCGGATGAATGCATTTACTTCATTTCTGAATTCAATATTTAGCTGATTACGACATTACAAAATAATTAGGACCCAAAAAACTAACCAGGTATAAAGCAAAGCGCATTGGAACTTTTGCATATTTACGCGGGGCAGTAGACCAATGAGAATGATTGAACTGATGCTGATAATGTTCATGCAATTGACACAACACAGGACACTAATCACTAAACACGTGGGAACACAGGGGAATTTAAACCATATGTAGCTACACAGATATAAAACAGGGATCTAAGTATGGTAACGACTGTGACGATACGTTTAATGAATAATATGACGAGAGGACACGCCTAAAGGCCCTTCCAAACAGTATACTTCAGAAATCGTGAGGCTACACAACTCCGACATAAGTTATACAACGGTGCGCTTCCGTCCGTCTTTTTTTTTTCATGCCGAGGGCAAAGTATTTTTTGTCGAATTTCGCCAGTGTCCTCCACGAGGGCCTTGAGCATGCTCATCAGGTGGTTCCGGACAGTCGCTGACAAGTTCTGTTGGCTCAAGGGAAAGGGGTGCAGGCGATTAGGAACGCTTCGCTGTTCGAAAGAGCATGATATTGCAAGATAGGGAGGCGGGCGGGCGGGTGAGACTGGCGAATTGTATGGCCTTGGTTCCGCGCTTCGACCGTTCGAGGGCCAGCTGCCGCCAGGATGCGCTTGGAAACAAAAACCAGAGTCATAGCTATGCCAGAGTACGCGTCAGAATTGAAGGGTTTTTCAAAACTTGATAAAATGCTCGGCATACTTTATACTTGTCTAAAAAGGGTTGATACAGGGGTTATTAAAGATGCCCAGTAAGTTTCTAATTAAAATGAACAAATAAAAAGTTACTTTTTTTAAAAACGAAAAAAACCTACTTTTTTAAATGTTATTATTTTTTTCCTAAATAGGCTCCTGGGAAAACACCCACACGGCATCAACCCTTTTTCTGTGCGATGCTTTGTTTTCGCAGGAGCGATTTGGCCTGCGTTTTCTGAAACACCATATATATATATATATATATATATATATATATATACCGGGTGTTTTTGCGAAGACTTTCAAAAATCCTAAAAATTAGGGCGATTGAAAAAAGAAGAAACTCTCTTCGGGAACAAACTACCAGCCACGGCGGACGTCAGGAATTGCCAAAAACCTACTAATTAGCCAGATAATTAAAACTTGTTAATTAACTTTTTAATTAGTGGAAATAGACATATGATTCCAATTAGAAAGTTGCTGAGCGTTATCGAAAACCACTAAATCAGTCATTTTCAGAAAGACTTTGAGTGCGTGAGACGAGTAGTAGCGCACTGAAGTTGCCACTCGTGGAACAGGTACAAGGCTAGCGTTTGCGGTAAGGCGCCCGCGCGATTTTTCCGCCTCTTATCTAGCCCCAGCCTTGTACCTGCTCCACGAATGGTAATTTTAGTGCGCTACTACTCTTCTCAAGCGCTTAAAGTCTTTCTGAAAATGACTGATTTAGTGGTTTTCGATAACGTTCAGCAACTTTCTAATTGGAATCATATGTCTATTTCCACTAATTAAAAAGTTAATTAACAAGTTTTAATTAATTATCTGGCTAATTAGTAGGTTTTTTGGCAATTCCTGCCGTCCGCCGTGGCTCGTAGTTTGTTCCCGAAGAGAGTTTCTTCTTTTTTCAATCGCCCTAATTTTTAGGATTTTTGAAAGTCTTCGCAAAAACTCCCGGTATATATATATATATAAATATATATATGGGTGGTTTCATCTCAAATCGTGCAGGCAAAAAGGGTCGAATTTTTAATTTCGATGAAAAAAAATATATGTCATGCCGCCGTTTCTAAAACCGCAGTCGACACAAACCGCAAGTTCGTCAGATTTTTTCTTCTCGACTTATGAATTTTTAAAGAGGCCGCGACGAAAAGCAGTGTTTTTCACACCCGTCGTGGGTCGGATGTTTCGCTTGATCTCCCGCCATGGATTTTCAGTCCACATTATATTATCTTTTTTGAAGCACTCTGTGGACACATTTAAAAGGCTCCAAAGCATGAAATAATTTTAGGCCTTTTGCTTTTTTTCTGTAAAAATGTCAAAAACGCCTCCTCGGTCAATTGTTGACGAACTTTGACAATTAATTACTGGCGATCTACTTGGGTTACACCGATATTTTTTATGTCCACGGAGAGCCCAAAACACGCTCTTTTTATTTATTATAAAATGACTTGGCTGTATAAAATATCATTTGCGGTACGTTTACGTTAATATTATGCAAAAACCAAAAAGTACCATTTTCGAAATTGATTTTCTGAAAAAACCCATTTTTTATTTTTTTTATTTTTTGTTCAAATGTAGATATGATAGTTCTCTACACGAAAATCAAGCCTAGAAAGTGTATATTTTGTTTGTATGTTCTACATTTAAGCATCAATATCGTACAAAAACGTGTTTTTACGGCTCGAAATGGACTTGCGAATTGCGCGTCTTCACAAGCTTGGAAATAGTTTTTTTCTTTTTTTCAACGTTCCCACATAAAACTGAAATACAGTATTTCCACCCTGATATATTTATTGATTATTTAAATTTTATTATAGGCGGCAAGCTACATCGGAGGAGTTCCAAAAAGAGAAAGCAACACTTCTTAACAGACCAGCAGGTGTCGTAAATTTTTAACGTGCAGGAGTCGGCAGACGTCTTATTGATTCGGGGCCCTCATTGGCCTGCATGTTGTGTTAGATGGGACGGCCCGTGACAGTAAAGCGAGCAGCGCACCCTGTGTCACGAGGAGTGAAATGGTACGATTGTTTCGTTGACGCGGCGAACAGTGACAGCCACCCAGGAGGAGTCTGTCAGAGTATTGCACAAGGGAAAGCAAAGGAATCGTTGCCTGAAAGGATGAGGACACCACGGCCTTACAATGTCGACGGTCAACAACTGTTGTGCCAGCCAAAACAACGCCGCGTGCGCGCTAAAACCGGCGGCGCGGGACAGAAATCCCGCAGACGCACACACGAAGATGGGCCGGTTTCTTTAGGGATGTGGGGAAATTTGAAACCAGCCATCCGTGCATGCGTGAAACGATACCGCCTGTTTGCCCTAGCCTTCGAGCGCCCTATCCTTACCTTGAAACGGCCGTGCTCTCTCTCTCTCTCCGGGGAGATCCGATAGCACCGAAGGGTTATCTATTAAACTTG